GTTAGATTTTCCCATAAGTTACTTTTCATGACGTTGGCTCTCTTCCACATTGGGCTGCCATCTGTCCAGTCTCTTCTTAGTACCAGGTCCTAGGATGACTGATCGTGTCAATATCATGGTATGTCAATATCATGTCATCTTATCTGACAAGCTGCCTTGTGTTCGGTTGGTTCTTTACTAGTAAAGTTTTTATTGAAACATTCACTCAGTGGTTCAGAAGTTGAAAACAGTCTCATCTTATTTAACGGAAACAAAACATGTAATAATATAATGGTTTTGCAAAAAAATTGTAAAAAGTAAGCAAGTATACCTGGAAAGCCATATCAAAATCCTTTTTTCCAACAACTTCATTTAGATTCCTATCTAAAAATCAATGAAAATCATGTATACGCATTAAAGGTTCCGGTTGATGATTTTTAAAAAGAATTTGGTCAATTTGAAACAAGTTGAAAAAATACCTTGTTGAGCTTTTTTTAGCTTGAGAAAGCCATTAAAGGTCAAATCTCAAATCTGAATTCAGATTTGAACTTCCGAGAACTTGCAGAACTTGTCAGTGAAAACAGTATTTGTTAATTTATTGGAGTTTTTTCGAATTTGGTACAGGAGCCGGACCCAAACGACCAACCACCACCCGCCGTCACAAAAAACGAGACCATAATATGTCACCACTTTTGATCGTGAAATAATATACTCACCAAACAACATGTAAAATTGATTCTTTATTTTTGCCATCCAAAAGGAATCAAGTTTGAAGTTCTTCGCCATGTTGAAAAGTATGTGCAGCTAAGAGGAATGTATGGGCGTAATGCTCTTATGATTATTTTGAATCGGTAATGATATTGTCTAGAGAAAAATTTGCGTTTAGTTTCATATATGCAGGAAGGTCAAAATAACATTCCTATATTCTATATTTCATTCACTATATTTTTTAATGATTTAAAAATAGGTTAGTTTGGCATATTTCAATTAAAAGGTGACGACATACAATAATTGTATAGGCCCCCTATCACACCAAACTAGTTCTTACCCGTTCTTTCCTACGAAAACGTCGTAAAACGGGCTCAATCTGGCTGTGGTCGGGAAATATGTCTAAAATAATTAGCTACCTCGTTCATAAACAGTCTTCAATACGTCCATCTCATTCGCAGTTCGTTCAGGTCGCACCACGTTGGTGTGCAACGTCGTATAACGCGCCCCTTAGTCTAGAAGGTCATCATGACCTGATTTTTTAAGGTTAGGTTTTATTTATTTGCAATAAGATGTTACACTAGTTAAAATACTAGGAAGGCCTAGGTAAAACATTACATTATTGCCCTGCCTTATAAAGAATTGCAAATCAACATATATTTACATCAGTTCTCAAAGTTTTCTAGACATTTCACCCCCTGGACGTTTCACCCCTAGACTGTTCACCCCTTAAACGTTTCACCCCCTGGACATTTCACCCCTTAGACATTTCACCCCCTGGTCATTTCTACCCCTGGACGTTTCACCCCTAGACATTTCATCCCTTAGACATTTCACCCCCTGGACACCTCACCCCCTAGACGTTTCACCCCTTAGCCATTTCACCCCTTGACATTTCATCCCTTAGACGTTTCACCCCTTAGACATTTCACCCCTTAGACGTTTCACCCCCGGCCCTAGACATTTTAGCTTCAATGTTTTACTCCTACATATTTCATTCAAGTATTCCTCTTTGTTAGAACTGAATACCTAAGTGTAAATGGCATATATTATAGTACATATTTCCTATCGACACATTTTGCTCAGTAACTTAAGTGAATTTAAGTTGGATGACTTCATGTAATATGGTTTAGCGTATAATATGGTTTTTTCAAAAAAATAAATTTTCAAAGTTGATTAGCAATTTTCAATCCAACTAAATGTACTTTTACATGTAGATTTAAAGTATGACATCACTTTGACTGAATTGTGAATATTTAATGGCGTAAAACAAGATCATTTCTACTCGCATCTAGTCAGTATTCACTTGTTTTTTCATATTCAGTTTCCAGGGTTTTGAAGTGAGGTCCAGTCAGAAAATCTGCAACCCAAAATCTTACACAATGCTAATTAATTTCACATCTAATTAATTCCATATCTAATTGTTTTCCATAAAACTAATGCTTTTATATCAGTATAGATACATTTGTGCACACATCAAAAACATGTTACCTCATATACATACAAGAAGAAAAAACGATTGGATTAATTTTCTAAATCTAAAAATAACTGGACTTTGGAAATTGAACAAGTTCAATTTCAGACTGATGGAAGGACGGACTGGTTGGACTTGGACTGGACCTTGACTGGATTTGAACCTTGACTGGATTGAACCTGGGCTGGTCTTGGACTGGACTTAGACTATACTTGGACCTGTACTGGCCTTGGAACTGGACTGGAATTGACCTGAACCTGGACTTTGACTGGACTGGAACCTGATTTGGACTAAGACCTGGACTTGGACCTGTAAATGGACTGGACAGGTATTTTTCGATTTTTTCTTCACTTCTCTTGACTTTCTATAAGGCTATCATCAGATCGATTTTTCTCGAAATTTCAAAATGCCATAACTTTAGATAGATAGCGATGGGAGTCTCTGGAGCAGAGAAGACAACAACAACGGCTCACCATGCTCTTTAAAATCAACAATAGCCTAGTTGGAATTCCCAAGGACCAATATCTTGAACCCCCCTCCCACAATAGACCCAGACGATTACAAGTAACTAACAGCCAGGCCTTTGTCCGCCGCAGATACAACAAATATGTCACTTTGCAGTCTTTCTTCCCAAATACAATCAGGGAATGGAACTCACTTCCAGAATCAATAGTGACAGCGGGAACATTCGAAGGCTTTAAAACCACGCTTGGTTCTTACTACCAAAACCCCATTCCTTAACTCTTACTGTTGTGTAACTGTTTTTAAACCGTTTTTAACTTTACCTTTTACTCTAACACTGTTTTTATCTTTTACTATGCATACTTACCCGCGATGTAGTAATCAGTAAATGATTGAATCGTGTATTATTATTATGATGATGATGATGATGATGAAACGGCCCTCATAATGAAATAATAATTTGTTCCATGTTGAGATTTTCCTAATCTGTCAATCATCGCGCACTTTGATGCTCCATTTTATCGAGGGGTAGTGTTTCACATTTTCTGTGATTTTTCAGAGTGGTCAAAAATAATATTGAAAGTGGGGCAAAACGGCCCGTGGGTGATGCAAAACAGCCCACCATTAAAGCTTGGGTTTTAACACAAAGTTTAATTAAATACATTTATCTTAAACGTTTAGTGATTAGACAGATAAATTATTCTAAGCCGTAACCATAATAGTCATATATGTCATAATTTGGGCCTGCTTTTGCATTATTTTGCAGTTTGTTCAGGTTATTTAAGAAACAATAATTGTCACTGCAATCGAACAGCTTGTGTTATTCATATTGTATTATTGTATTTTCGAGTGAATCCAACATGCTGGACAGCTCATGTTACAATTGTAATTTGTAATTTTGATTTCACTGTACATATTATCTGATTGGTCAAGTATTGAACGTAATGCTCAACTCAGGTATTTCCACTCAAGTATAAATGTTATTGAAATCTCTTGTTCCACATCATTTCAACAACTGGTGATCGTAGTTTGAAAAGGGTCTAAACAAACCCGAACACAGCAGCCCTGTGAGGTACTTTTGTGTTGAATACTAGATGCTAGTTCCTAGTTCCTAGTGTGCTTATACAGAGACTGAATGAGTGGCGTTCATGCTTTTGATATCTAGTGACGTTCTTAGTGTGACCTAGAAGATATATATCTGAGACAATGCTGTTATTCAGCAATGTATATTATTCAGCAAAATGGGACAACGCCGTTATTCAGCAATGTGTATTATTCAGCGAAGTGGGACTCTCACAGTACATGCAGTGACAACATGCCATCAACATAGAGTGGTGATGTTATAGTGGCACTCAGTATTCTATATGACACTGGTATTTCGATAGAGTAAAATATGTACAATTAAGGTTTTAAACCTAAAATAGAGACTCTTATCCATGAGTGGATTAAAATCATATCACGAGTAAATCATAGGATGTTCTTTTTATTCCATAGTTAAAGTCATCATCAGAATCATCGGAAATTAAGTGATTTAATTGGAATTTTCCAAACGATCCGGCGATGTTGACACTTAGCCTCGTTTTGAGTCTGAAGTAGCAAAAATCCATAAACCATCGCATACGGAGCCGTATGTCATGGCTAAAAAACCGTATGCTATGGTTTAGTGAAAATTTGTCAAAAATATCATATTTTACCACTGATTACAAAAATACCGTTTTTATTTTCACATGTTGTCCTATGAATATCATGCTAACTATGGAATAAATACAGATATTCAACTCCACAGAATTCAATATTTGTATAGTATTATTTGAATTAGGTTATTGTACGGTAGAGAAATGAAAATGTTGGTGATCAAACCTAGGCTGAAAACAATCGATGTTATATTTTATTGTATTATATGAATTCTTGTACGGTAGAGAAATGAAAATGTTGGTGACCAAACTTAGGTTGAAAATGATGAGTGAAAAATAACAAGAGTTGTGTTATTTTCCACATTATTGCGTCTCGAATCCCTTACCACTTCAGAGGTTACTGGCAAATTACATAATGTAGAAAAATGTGTCAGATGGGGTACTAAACAATGGATTTTGAGTGCTGGATTGGATTAATATTTTTATTATCCTGATTACAACTCCAAAGAAATATATCTTATATTTAACGAAAATACTGTATTTATAATGTGAATAAAGTCTTGCTCAAAGATATGTCGTCAACTATTTGCATACCTACTACATTTGGTATTTTTATTTCAAATGTGTAAATGCGTCTAGTCCCCTTACAATGAGCTTAAAATATCACAAAACCCTATAATTTGTTCAAGATTTTCAATATTACACTTTCTAATGAAGGGAAGGCATTTTCTATTTATCCATAATTATCCGTTGTACATAACGGAAGCTATTCTATTTTCAATCAGACCTTCTTCACGATCGAAGAGACTTGGGCCGGTTGGTGGACCTCTGGTATAATCGTAGTTGATCTGTGTTGGATCATTAGGCCCATTGGCATCCCGAGCCATAACAAACAGATCAAAGAGGAAGTGAAGGAGGTTTTGCCAGATATATGGAAGGAGAAAGCTGAAAGGGTAACGCATTACTGGTTGATTTGGTTGTTCCTATAACATAATATAAATAGTTCATCTTTGGATGCATGAACATCGGCGATCAGTGTAATACCATCAACTGCTGTGACCTTTAGCCAACAAAGATGAGAGTTTGGTATTTTCCTATTTATATATGAAGTTAATGTGAATATGTAGGCATAACCACATAAACGGCAGTGTTTTCCCCGGGGAATTTTTTCACGACAATTATTGTTTTCGAATTTGACAAGCAAAACGATATAGTAATTTTTAATTCATGGATTCTACAACTATAATGTATTTCAACATTTCACCCGGGGCCTATTCGCGAGCAATACCCCTGGTAATACGAGTAATGGGTGGCATCATAACATATAACTGTCACTAAATTAGTAATTTATATTTCAGGTGAAATCGAGGTTCGATCAAAGTATGAACACGCTAGACAGATCTCTCCACATCACTCCCAAAATGAAAAGAAACTCAATCAAAACGGATAAGCCTGTTAAGATGGCGAATATACAGAAACAGAAAAGCCAGAAAAGTATAACTGATGAGTCTAATCATATTGCCAAAAATCATAGTAACTCCACTGCCTAATGAGATTAATGATAATTCTCAACCGAATATTCCTGGAGGGACGGATAGTTCACCATCAAAGGAAGATATTTCAAACAAGTAAAATACGGAATTAAAATAACAAAACTAAACAAGTGGGGTATTAGAATATGTATTTTTTGTCTGGATGTCAACTTGTACATAAAACAAGAAGCATTAGCGTAATTATATGATTTTGGATATAATGTTTATTACTTGTATATCAGTACTTCATATACAGTACTCCTTGATAGTTGATACTGGTACCAATTAGCAAATTATTAAACAAATACTGGATGATCAGGAGCTGGATATGGCAGAATGCCTATTCGAGAAAAAATAATGGGCGAGGCGGCAGCCGAGCCCAAAATTTTTTCGAGGATAAGTAGGTATTCTGGCCATATCCAGCTCCTGATCATCCAGTATTTGTTTTATTATGCACCTCCCAATCAAAGTTAAGTGGAGTACTTACTGGAGTACAGGCTTAAACTGTCGTTTAGTTGACATTATTTTGACATTTATTTATTTTATCTTTCAAAACTCAGACGACTTCCGGCCAGTTTATTCGCTACACTGGGAGAAAATATTTCCCCCGGGAATTTAATTTTTATTTATTCGAGACATTCTTGCAGAATTATATGTAACTTTTGAATGATAAGGGTAACTGTGATTGATTAAGTGCATTTTTTTCTTCTTTTTTCCGCCAGTTTCAGATGTAAGCTTTAAGTAGTACTCCGGTTATTAAAAAAAAAACTCTGAAGTGGGAATGTTGCAAAAACATTGAAAAAAATATCCGACCCTTTTTCTCGAAAGAGTCAGATATTAAAAAAATATCCGGCAGTTTTCAGAAAAGAGCAGAGTATTGCCAAATTACAAGCAACTAAGAACCAATCAGATTTGAGTATTTTAATGAGGTGCATAATAATGTTAAATATCCCAGATGCGAGTAGAAATAATCTTGATTTACGTCATTTAAAATCCACAATTCAGTCAAACTGATGTCATATTTGGAATCTACATGTAAAATTACACTTAGAAATGTGGTTTTGAAAATAGTTTATCAACTTCGAAAATCTAATTTTCTTAGAAAATATGACTTCTAGGTCGGGGAGATTCCCCATAGACCCCATGTTGTAAAACCACAAAAAGTGAAATATCTTCTCTTGTTTTGGGCAGATAATATTTTCTTTCACTGGATATATTTTAATTTGTATAACTATCAGATACATAAGGGTAATATAAAAAGTGAACCACTAAAACTGATGCATATTCAAGTTTAAGGGAATTTTGTAATACCCTCCCATGTTAATTCCCCGAATCAGCCACCCGGTGGCGAAATTTGTAACTACCTACTCGCATCTGAGTAATTACAATGTGCAATGTACATACATGTATGCTAACAAGGCAGCTGAAAAGTTATGCATTTAAAAGCACAGTCCTCTAGACGACTGGACGTGTACATAAATTATATTATGTAGTTTTATAATAAAATATATATTTGCTTTTTATATGTATACTTGAATAAACAATAATATTGCTCTAATATTTATAACGTTTGACTCATGACTTATGTAAACTATGTCTGTATCAACTCACACACTTGTTTAAATACGGTACAATGTTTGATTTGCTTTAATATTAAACCAAGAAAAAATAACTCATAATAGAAAAAGCATTTCAAGTTGGAGATCATTAGACAGGATTTAAAAGATGGCGACACTTCTATAAAAATGAATGTATCATGTAATACAAACAATTTTGCCATCTTCCAATGACATTGATAAAAGCTTAAAATATGAAGCTTGACAGATCAAAAATATTTTTGATAGTTTATTGTAAGCGTTGATGTGGTCCATTTGGTGTCAAATGAAAAATAAGGTTCTTATCAATACATTGGATATACACTCCCCTCCATAAGTTTGACAACCTAAGCTCCATCATTGAACTATGTGTTAAAGCCTCTTTACGTTTGAATTTGTATTTACTTAATCGGCGACAAAATAACGTTTAATATTGATGGAAAAGTAATCTGACTTTATTTCCAATACCTCCAATTTTTTTTTAAAACGGGTATACTTTTTGCCGATTTTTTTGTAACAAAAATTATTTCATACAACTACTCTTTACAAAATCATTGACATGGCTTTTTACAATGCAACCCACCTGAAATTCTTTGTAAAGCTAGGAAATGGCCCAAAAGTGAATTTCGCGAGACAAAAATGGCGATCATTTTGAAAATAGGCAATATTTTGAACTAGGAGTCAAAAGGGAGTTTTTTGTATTGATGATTATCAAAAATAACTTAAAACGGGAATCCTATCGACAGCGGTTTGAACGCAAATGGTCCAAAAGTTGACTTCACAAGACAGATGGGCAAATCAATGTTAACTAAAATGGCTGAAAATAAAAAAAGGATAATTTTTTTGCTGATTTTTTGTAACAAATTTATTTCATATAACTACTCTTCACATTAATGTGGCTTTTACAATGCAGGACACCTGAATTTATTTTTTAAAGCTAGGAATTAAATGGGTCAAAAGTGAATTTCGCGAGACAAAAATGGCGGCCATCTTGAAAATAGGCGAGCTTTTGAACCTGGGGTCACAATAGGGGAGTTTTCTGTTTTGATGTTGAACAAAGATTACTTATAACGGGAATCCAGAGGCTTTAAACGTGCCACTATTGTTGGTCCAAAAGTGGATTTCGCAAGACAGATGGAGAAATCAATGTTAACTAAAATGGCTGAAAACAGAAAAAAAACGTAAATAATTATTGCTGATTTTTTTGTAATAAAATTATTTCATACAAAACTACTCTTAACATTGACATGGATTTTGACAATGCAGGACACCTGAAATTATTTGTAAAGCTAGGAAATGGGTCAGAAATGAATATCACGAGACAAAAATAGCGGCAATCTTGAAAATAAGAGAGCCAGGAGTCATAGGAGAGTTTTCTGTATTGATGTTGAACAAAAATAACTAAACAAGGGAATCCTGTCGGAAATCCTAGCGCACGCACGCACGCACGCACTGACAGACGGACAGACGGACAAGTGAGTGAGTGCAAGAGCTCACCATGTGAGCTAAAAACGTGAACAGGTGATTAATTATTACGAAGATAGAAAGCAATGATCTAAACTAGCAAATAAAATGAAGTTATACAAAGTCATGTGTTAATACTTGTGATATAGGTATCGATTGGGAAGGATTAACTAGAAATCGACAACTCCACGGAGTAGCAAATCCCAACGAACACTATGTAAATCACGAATCTGCACAGTCACAATGTAATATTTACCATCTACTCTTCCCTTCACTAAATAATTGAGATCATTGTAATATCTTATAACCATACTTAGCAATATCTCAATGAATGGTCAATTCCTGCTCCAGGCAGCCATATTGAATTTGAATTGAGGCATAAATCAGAAAAACGATACCATATTTGTTATCTACTCTAAGATTCCTTCAACTTGAGTATAATATAGCCATACTTCTAAGAGATCAGTAAATCATTGCGAAATCCCACAAAGCTATACTTCAAAAGCATCTCAAAATTAGTGCAAATTTCTGTTTTCCCAAATTTCCGTTTTCATGGCCCCTGGAGGCCAAGGTGAAAAAAACGGAATACATGTGAATTATTTATATTTTGTGAATATACCACAAACATTTCAAATGATAATATTTATTACTTTGGTTTAAAATGAAAAACATGAGATTTTTGCAAAATTTCCGCTAATTCTAGAGCGATGGGCATCTTAAAAAATGGTTGCGTAAAACTATTCACCAATAAACAAATTTCCACCAAATATTGCGCAAATCTTTTGACTAGTATTCGAGTCATCTTCCGGACGGACGGACGGATGAACGGACTGACTGAGGGTCGAACTGACGGACGGAGGGCTTCACTATATCCATACCGAACTTCGTTCGTTGGGATAATTACGAATACATAGATCTTTACTGAATGCTGGATTGCAATTGTTTTCACTTCGTCAATCGGCAATCGTAAATCCTTCAAATTGTATTTTTTTAATTTAGACGCCGTTTAAGTACGAATTTTTGATAACACATTCAATTTAGATTGTAATATTGGTTACGCAATAACAACGTCAAATGTGGACAATGGACATAACCTCTAAATGTATCTCTCTATTTCCCTATTAATAACTTCTTAAATCACAACGTTTACATCGATTCTTTAACTGTCTCACTGGTGATCCACTCGATTACGCTGGTTACCGAAACGGCTCGTTTTGGTAACAAAATGTCGGAACGCGAAGGTACGATTTTTCTTTTTTCCTTATTTTACGCGTTGTTGGCAGAATTCCGACGACATTTTTATCACAAACGTGTATCAGTATCATATGTTTAAGAAAATGTACATATTTGCGAACAAATAGTTCATAATTCCTCACTTAAGTTACATAAAAGGTATTTCGAAAAACAGTTAAGATCTGCACTTTTTACCCAACCCGTTTATGTAACTAAAGTGAAGAATTAAATCGACGATTCTGATGTCTTCTGAGCTATTTTTTCGCAAACATATACATTTTGTAAAACATATGATACTGATATACGTTTGTGGGAAAAAACGTCCTGGCAGAATACTACAACGCGTGAAATAAGGAAAAAAGAAAAATCGTACCTTCGACGTTCCGACATTTTGTTACCAAAACGAACCGTTTCGGTAACCGGCGTAATCGAGCGGATCACCTGTGTGTCTGCTGTCGATTCGTAAATTAGTCTTGCTTCTCAGTACACATTCGTATAAACATATCTCCGAGGGAGTTCACATCATCAGACATATTCATCTGTATGAACCATAAATGCCAAAGTTCCCGATCAAAAGTAATCCGTCCATCCTTAAAATATATTTTATGATATCGTAGTAAGATTGTTAATTATTTGCCTTTGGGTCGGCTACTTTTACCCACTCTTTAGTATTTAAAAACATGGCTGAAATATTCACTCATCGAGTACATTGATAATAACCAGTACAGTTCTACTTGAATACTTTATCGTACAGCTATTTAATGGTATGTAATACAATACTTGAAATTGAAATTACGACTGACTTAATGAATGAACTTTTATCTTATGAACGTACGTATGTTATATTCTTGAAATATTTCTCAGATCTTTCTTGTGGCAATTTTAAACATTTTCCGTAATATGTTACCCATTCCTCTTTCTCCACCCATCCATCAGCTGTAATATAAGGATATACGTACAAATAACAATATAACAACAAGTAAAATGATACACAGACTATCATCGAAACCGAATATTTATGTGATAGTAAAAGCACATTATCAAAGCAGTGAACGCAAAATTCCGTTGCTGGAGAACTTACAATTTCCAAGTCTATCAAATACATCAAAGTAAACGTCCATGTAACGTAAGTACCATTGTGGGATTTGAAGGGTCTTAGTTTGAATCTGCCGGCACATTTTTTCCAAGGCATTTAGCCATTCGTCGATGGTAACCTTTTAAAAAGGAATGCAGACTAACACCCCAGTCACATTTGTCGCACGGAGGCCGTGCGTCGACCGCAGATCAATTAAATCATTGTATTTTTGCGGCGAGCGTAGGAAAACTACGCTCGCCTTGTGGCCTCCGTACGGCGTATCCAGTTTTTTACAGGCCGCAAGGTCGCCGTAGAAATGATAACTCGGAGTTATAATATTTGTTCATTTATCATCTGGCTCAACAAGATTGAATCATTATTTGTCAATGTTTCCCGATCACTTTTCATTTGATATTACATCCTAGCACTATGAATAACATTTATAAATTGTCCCGATGTTAATAAAATGAAAAAAGTATTATTTATCAACAGAAATTTAAAATTCACCGTGCGGCTGCCGTGGGAAATGTGACTGCAAAAGTATGAGAGCGCAGAAATTCCACGGCGAGCGTAGAAATGTTACTGGCCGCAGAAATGATAGACCGCAAGGTCGCCGTAGAAAATGTGACTGGGGTGTTACAAAAACATTTTTAACTACATCTAGCAATTTATGTATATTACGCCCCTATCACAACAAACTGGTTCTCAACCGTTCTTTACAGTCCTGCAAAAAGTCGTAAAACGCGCTAAATCTGGCTGTGGTCGGGAAATATGTCAAAAATAATTAGCTACTTCGTTCATAAACAGTCTCCAATAATTGAATCGATTCAAAATTCTAAGATCACCTTCCTTCCCGTCTGAGAACGTTCTTGGAGTTCGTAAATAGACCTTAGAAAGTTGCAGCTACGTTCATTCCGTTCGCACACAATTTAAAACCAATTTTGAAGAACGCAGTGGCAACTTATTTTGGTGCGAAAGCTATATTTTCGTATAACTCGTGCATACGCAGTCTTTAATCATACACTCTTAATCGGTTTAAACCCGTTTACAATTAGTTCTACCTCGTTCTCAATACGTCCTCAGACAGTTCAACTCGTTGTAAAAACGTCCCTATTAGGATTGACGTACGACGGTACCGTTCGCAATACGTCCAGGTCGTCGTCGGTGCGTTGTCAATTGTTCTAATTGTAGAACGTGGCAACCGTGAGAACATTTTGAGCATGTTTTGAGTTCTAGAGGACCTACCCGGGTCTAAGTACGAATCCGTTAGTACACAGTTGAAGCGTTTTCGAGAACGTAGTGAGAACTAGTTTGGTGTGATAGTAGGGCAACAAGTTCATAAGCAATCTTCGATACCTCCTGAATCAGTTTAAACCCTATATGCCAGACAGTTCAACTCATTCTAAAAACGTTCCTAGTAACCTTACTATCACACCAAACTAGTTCTCACTACGTTCTCGAAAACGGGCTTCAACTGTGTACGAACGGACTAGACGTACTTAGAATCGTTTGGGATCTATTTACAAACTTCATCGAACGTCCTCGAACGGGTAGGTCCTCTAGGACTTAGAACATGCTCAAAATGTTCTCGTGGTCGTCACGTTCTACAATTAGAACGAGTGACAACGTACTAACGACGAGCTGGACGTACTACGAACGGAGCCATCGTACTTCAATCCTACTAGGGACGTTTTTACAACGAGTTGAACTGTCTGAGGACGTATTGAGAACGAGGTAGAACTAATTGCAAACAGGTTTAAACTGACTAAGAACGTATCAAAGACTGCTCATGAAAAAATATGTAAACATATAGCTATCACACCAAACAAGTTGCCACTCCGTTCTTCAAAACTGATGTTAAACTGTGTGCGAGCGGAATGAACATATTTGCAACTTTCTAAGGTCTATTTACGAACTTCATGAACTTTCTCAGACGGGAAGGTCACTTTAGCATTTTGAAATGATTCAAAATTCGATGGCGACCATACCGTTCTGTAATCAGGTCATAGTGACCTTCTAGACTAAGTGACGCGTTATACGACGCTGCACACCTACGTGGTGCGACCTGATCGAACTGCGAATGAGATGGACGTATTGAAGACTGTTTATGAACGAAGTAGCTAATTATTTTAGACATATTTCCCAACCACAGCCAGATTGAGCCTGTTTTACGACGTTTTCGTAGGACTGGCAAGAACGGGTAGGAACTAGTTTGGTTTGATAGGGGGATAAGATTAATGTACGAATTAAATTTCGAAGATATTCATCACGCAGTTTTGAAAAAACGTGAAGAGAACGCGATTCGCAAATACTTGGCAATTAATTGTGTACCTTTATAAATTCTTAGCATAGTCAACAGTGGCTCGATTTTCATGAAATAAAGCATATTGGAAAGATAAATCAATATGATAAATTTGTATCTATCAAATAGAGAAACAATTACCTTTTTGTATTATCTAGAGATTTAGAAACAATGTAACAATCAATTTTTTATGAATTTCAATTTTATTGGAATCAAGTTCCAACTATCATAACTTTGCCTCTCTTCCCCAATCAATCTAGTTTTGTTTACGCCAAATAGTGACCCCCACCATCCCTGAAGACATTGTGGTTCAAAATCTTTTCCCCATTCCTTTATTTTAATTAACAATGATTTTCCAATGAGTCAAAAATCAAACTTATTGTTGTTTTACCAGCTTTAACCATTGGCTTTTGGCACAACTCTTCTAGTTTTTGTCATATGATGATTACAAATAAAACCAAACTAAAGCTAACCATATCGTCCAGGTTAGTGTCTGCAATATATTTCACTGCCTTCCACATGTTGCTAAAAACGTCATTTAATCTCACCCACATTGGACTGCCCTCTGTCCAGTTGGTCAGGGTGAGAATATTCTGCAGAAATGAAATATTTAATCATTTATTTTGACTCATTGATAGTCACGTAATTAACCGTGTATGACTCTTGTATTAGGGATCTTGAAGCTTTTTGGAATCTGAAAGTGAGCTTTACAGGGAAAGTAAAAGTCAGATTCCAGGGGTCATATCAATAGTTCAGTGGGTGTAATTGATAAATCAATAATGTCAAATCTAAAACACAAATGTGAACTCTTTAGACAAAAGTACCCAAGGAGTGGGTATCGACATGGATATACTTTATCCGCTAAAAGTCGACAGTCTCCGGGAATACTAAAAATCCTATTACTACTATTACTTGGATACGCATACAATGGTTATTTATAGAGTAAAAAGTGCATTTTCTGGCCTCTTAATTTCATGGAATGTTCCATATGTTTGAGCCGATGGGAAATGGGAGATCATTCCTCATATTTTCCACTCTTCAAGAGAAGGCCAGCGTATACTGGTTCCCATAATATCGGCCAAACATCATTTATGAAACAGTTCAATGTCAACATCGAGCATCAAATAGACACTGGCAATGGTAAGATCTCAGCCAGATAATTATGTGAGAAGTCCATTGTGAGGTGACAGCTAGTCTATAGGGAGATATAAAAATTTCATGGACAAAACAATGCCTGAATATTACAACAATTATGAACTGAATTATTTTCCTTCGAGAGTGACTAATATCCAGGACTGGGAGATAATATGTGAAAATACAGCAATGTATATTTCTTATTCAAACATGACCGTGCTCTATTCGAATTTCTCAACCAATCAGAATGCAGCATAGCCAATATAGAACGTTCTCTAATTCTCCATAGATGCACGACCATGCTCTATTCAATCTGCAATTTGCATTGTTTTGAGTGACGTCACATCGATCTCAGCTGCACATCTGGGGCTCTGTCCGGGGATAGCTGTTCTTTTTTACTCCCTCCGTAACTACTGTAACTATTTAACTATGCCTGACTTCAGTTTGCACACCGTATAAAATCTAAAACGGGGAGTAAAATAGAACAGCCCAAACAAATTCTAAAATTTTTCCGGCCGACTTCAGAATCTTGACAGCATGCGTAAGGGTTATTCTTCCTTCATGCCCGTTCCACAGACACGGCTTTTACTAATTTTTATGTTTGAATCGGAATAAATAATGATAGGCCATTCAATATGGTGAAATTCAGCACTCTTTGGACAAAATGTTAGTACAAATGCACCCACCTTCGGTTCGTGCTTTGTACAACATTCTGTCCAACTCGTGCTGAATTTCACCATATTGAATGGCCTATCATTATTTATTCCTTAAATATACCGAACACGCAGATAAATTCTGAAAGAATATTGTGAAATAAATTGTTTTTTCTAAACCCTTATGACATGACCCCTGAAATGTGACTTCCACGTTCCTAGTAAGAACTTTTGGAAATTGTTCATGACACATGCAGAATACAGATCATGACCATGACAATCCAAAAATAATCATACACACATTTTCACAAATAATAATTTTACCATTATCTGAATTTTTGTTGATTGAACTGCAAGAATAGAGACAATTGAATAAATACAAGTATTGGCTATCAATTTCTAATTTTTTCTTCAACATGTATTGTAATGACTTCAATATGAATGAAATGTCCCTTGGTCTTCTGGTCTTGGATTGTGATATTGGTTCTTGAATGATGGGGGGAAAGGGGGTATTAGACATTGTTTCTTTTCACGTTAGATCATGGTTTTGGGCTACACGGGGTTTGTTTTTCTTGACTGGTATGCACTTGGAGTTTGCTTTTTCTTGCTAAGTTCAATAACAACTTTTGGTCCTTTCCCTTTGGCACTTGTGCTTATATACTTATATATTCCAATTTTTATTCGCCCACCCTGTACATTACTCGGAAACCCAACTGCGAAATAATACAGGGTGGTCAAAAAACTGAGACAATTCTTAAAACGTAGAACGTGTGCAAATATATTACAAGAATATCTGTAAAATCTGTGAAACTAACCTTCACATGTATATCGAAATCGTTCTTGCTAACCACTCCATTTTTGTCTTGATCTGAAAATAACCTAAACTGAAATCAAGAGTACACAAAGACATAAAACGTCCAATAATTGTATATTCATATGACTTAAGTTTTACAAGAATAAGAATAAAATTATCAATGGCTTACCAAACCAGGTATAAAACTGATACTTGTTTTTCTTCTCCCAGATATCGGTGCGATTAAATTCGGCTCTGGAAACTAATTGTTTGACTATCATTTCTCCAAAAGTATTCCCAATAGTTTCCACATCCCTAGATACAGTGAATCCAAGTATCATCTCCCTGAAAAGAGCTATGTCCAAAACCCGCTGTCCATTCTAAAAAGACAAATCATGTCTGTATACGGTTGTCACATCTGGTAGCAATAAAATTGAAATTGTGAATGTTGAAATTGCAATATTAAGTGACAGGGTGACACAAAAATGCAACCCGCATAATAACGTATTTGCCTGTTTGATAACCGGTTGTTCTTTAGCACAGTGAAACTGATAAATTTAGACTCTATTGACCAACTCCACAAGACGTTTTAGATGACTTGCTTAACTAGATGCATTTCATTAGGGTTACAAGATGTGCGCACACTCTTTTAAGTCAATGGTATGATTTCCAAACATGAAGGATCTGTAGCACACTATAGGGCAGCAACATTTAATGCAATATTTATGAAGGTGTATATGTCTTGATTTTTTTAAACACCATTTGCTGAAAAAACGTCCGGCTTTCGGGTCGAATATGTATTTCATCACAAAGGGTCAAAAAACGTAAATATTTTGATTCGAACTTTTGTACATTTTATAATTCACAGACCGTTATTCTAAGCATACGTACACAAATATATTATCATAATGTAAAAATATACTATAATTTTACTGTAGATGTCGGTGTTTAATTAGTGTTATTACTCAAGTGTGTTTTGCAGATTTTGTTTGATTTTTTCAAATATGAGTCAAGCCTATTCAACATAATTGTGTGGAATATTCAGGTAATTTATGATTGGGAACATATTCGATTCCTTACCATTTAAAACATTTTATTATCAGAATTATTCCATATAATCGCAAGGGGTCTAACAACAAATTATCGTTAATTTTTTATAAAACATAATACAATAACAAATAGGTAAGATTCATGTCTAATTAAATATTACAGAGGTATTGGAATGTTCATATATTCCAAGGGCATGTCTAATAATTAATTAGAGTCATATGCAATCGAACACCTTACAATTCTTCCTCGACATTACTTGCGGCTATCATCAAGTTTTCTGATTGTTGTATCTTTTTTTACCTTACCGTTGGGTACAATCAAATTTAGGAAGATAATGTTAACGATTTTTACGCAAAAAGTGTTATATATGTGGCTCAAGCTAAAAATATAATGAGGACGCGAAAAAAAATTGCAAAAAGGACTCAAGAAAACCCTAGGGGGAGGCGGATTGACCATCCCCGCAGACATTAGGGTTCATTTTATGTGCAAAATAATTAGTCAAGGGTCAGAAGGACAAATGTTTTGTATAACATTATGTGAGTGTGATGCATTTTTGTGTCACGCTATATTTCAAGAGTATACTTTAATCATGACATGATGTTACCATAATGATTTTCCTGTATGCAGACTCTACGAAGCATAGAAAAGTGTTGGGGATGTGTCTTGATTCGTAGTAAAATCCAACAAATTCAACTTCGTCAATCAAACCATCTCCTAGAATATCAATTCATTAAACATAATATAATGTAATGCGAATCGATGCAATTAATGCTAGCTACTTTATGAAAATATATCTTTCAATGTATGCGTAAATTATCATACCATTTTTGTCAATTATGTGAAAAGTTATGTCAATATACTCGCGGAACCACAACGGTATGTCATTTTTCTTCTCGTAATTTGCAGCAAAGTCCGCCCAGAAGGTGCACCATTCAACTAAGCTGATCTGTGAAGTAAAAGTTTAGTGTTACACGTTTCCCACGTCAACAGTGACTAACACATGTAACATAATATGGAGTGTCGTAAATATATATGGACCGTTATTACGTGGTCATTATGTGTTCATATATTTTTTACTTTCTTGTCAACGCAGGGAATCGATTGCATCGCTTTATCAACACATTCTATTATCCATGTGTACAATAATGCTTTTATTGATCTCTTAACGCTACATGATTATAGCATGCTTGAAATATTGACAATATGTTGGATGTTTGTTATGATAACCGTGGATTTCAATTACTCGCCTGGTTGTTTTTATCCGCATCACTGGTTAGATTTGTCCATAAGTTACTTTTCATGACGTTGGCTCTCTTCCACATTGGACTTCCATCTTTCCAGTCTCTTCTAAGTACCAGGTCCTAGGATAACTGATAATGTCAATCTCGTGGCATGTCAATATCTGACATTGTGTTCGGTTGGTTCTTTACTAATGACGATTTTATTGAAACATTCACTCAATGGTTCAGTTGTTAAAACGGCCTCATCTCATTTAACGGAAACAAAACATGTATGTAATAATATAATGGTTTTCCAAAATATTGTAAAAAGTAAGCAAGTATACCTGGAAAGCCATGTCAAAATCCTTTTTTCCAACAACTCCATTCAGATTCCTATCTAAAAATCAAAGGAAATCATGTAAACGCATAAAGTTCCGGTTGATAAAAAAGTTGTTCAAAAGAATTTGCTCAATTTGAAGCAAGTTGAAATTATACCTCGTTGAGCTTTTTTGACCTTGAGAAAGCCATTAAGGGTCAAATCTCAATCTGAAGTCAGTTTGAACTTCTGAGAACTTGTAGATGATTTTGAACAAAAGTCAGTGAAAACAGAATTTGAGCCAGGCCACAGGAAAAGGGGTCTGATCACAAATTTTTCAATATTTTGATTTTTTGTTTATCTTAAAAAGCACAAAAATACCTTTCAAACGAGCCATGACTTATGTCTTAACAATTTTCCCTTAAGTTGGATTTTAATTTAGCACATTTTCCTCTTAATCTTGGGCACATTTTTGGCCCTGTAGCACAATTTTAATTTTTGTGATAAGACCGGTTTTCCTATGGGTGTCTACAAAACTAAGACCTAAGGCCTAATACCTACAAAACTAAGACCCCCCACGTAATAAAACTAAGACCCTGTTATAAAACTAAGACCCCCACGTTATAAAACTAAGACCCTGTTATAAAGCTAAGACCCCCCACGTAATAAAACTAAGAACCTGTTATAAAACTAAGACCCCCCACGTAATAAAACTAAGACCCTGTTATAAAACTAAGACCCCCCACGTTATAAAACTAAGACCCTGTTATAAAACTAAGACCCCCCACGTTATAAAACTAAGACCCGGGACTGGGCCCGCAGAGAATGATTAAGCAGAGAATTACTCATCCCCTCCTGACTATCAGCAAAATTCTGGAACGCGACAATATACTCACCAAACAACATGTAGAATTGATTTTTTATTTTTGCCATCCAAAAGGAATCACGTTTGAAGTTGTTCGCCATGTTGAAAAATATGACTGTGCAGCTAAGAGGAAAGTATGGGCGCAATGCTCTCATGATTATTTTGAATCAGTAATGATATAGTCTAGATGAAAAATTGTTTAGTTTATACATGTATATGCAGGAAGGGCAAAATAACTTTCCTGTATTCTATATTTCATTCACTATATTTTAAATGGTGCAAAAATAGTTTAGGCCTAGTTTTGCATATTTCAATTAAAAAGTGGTGATATACCATGATTGTATATTTAGCCGTATTTGGTCGATTACAGACAAATAGGCTTATAGTTGTTTCGGGAAGTGAGACCGATAGTGGAAAGTTAATTGAAGTGAATAAGTAAGTAAGATTTTCGGCCGTTGAAACAGCAAAATCCAGGTACGAGTCATAGCTTAGTTAGTTGAGCAGTTTAGTCAATTGATTTATTCTATCATCTATTCATATGTGGTAAGTCTTACAATTCAACAAATGAAAATAATATAACAATTTTACCCAGCTAACCTTGGGCCTATTAACCACTGTCAAGAGCGGTAAAAACAACATTTCAAAGATCTATAGATCGTGAGTTGCTAAATGTGGTTTATCTTTGTTTCGAAAAGAAATATCAGAATTGAACTTTGACTTACATAAAATAATCTAAAGTGATGTAAATATGATAAAAATTCATGAAATCATGAGAGTTGTCCTTAACATGTCGTATAAGCTAGTGTTATGCTTGTAGCACTGTATCAATGTAAGATTTTAACTAAAGGAGCCCATAACATCAAGACAGACTCTGAATATCAGCATTTGATAATATATGTGGGGGTCAGCAATGATTTCAAATGTTACCTTACCTTGTATTCGCGAATGCAACAAACACCAGTCGGCTACCAGTACAACCTACTTTTTTGTATTATTGACCAACTCATTTAAATATGAATGGAAGAGTGGCAGATACTATTCATATTTCAATGAGTTACTCATAAAATAGTAGGTAAATCCGGTAGGCGACAGGCGTTAGTTGCATTCGCGAATGCAAGTGTACAATGCGTAATGTAATTTCGATTATTTTCCCCCAGGCAGTCAGCTCTACTTCACTGTCAATATTTTTATTGTTTCTCATCCTTCCCAAGAAACATGGTGGCAACAATATTCCCGGCAGAATTCATATCAGTGGACAAGTAATATTGTAATATCATTGTAGACCAAAAGTCACGATCCATAGCGATTCGTCCATCCTGAAATTACAATATGCAAACGATGATATACTTAAAAAGTCGGATGTTATTGTTAATTCAAACATCACCGTGCTCTAATACTCCAATACGCGATAAAGTTTAGTTTAGTTCAGTTTAGTTACCTCCCGTTTGAAGAGCTCTCATGTATGGTACAACTTCTTCTACAATGGGTAAATCCAACTAAGTATTATAACATGCGTATTCCCATACAAACCATCTGTTTTCCAGAGAAAACTAAGATTTGTGGACATGTTTTGCTATCATTCCATCATACCCTAGTATGTCCTCTGTTAGTAAAAAAGGTTGAATCAAAATTTCCCACGAAAATCAAAAGATCTCACCTGTTGAAGACGTCATCTATAGAAAATGTCAAAAAATGTTATTCTGATTTTGACAGATGGAGGCAAGTCAAAAAGGTCAACTTTTTTTTAAAGAAAATGCACCTTAATCACATCAAATCATGTCTCAGAGTTGGTCCGTACATACACATTTTCATTCATGTACTTACCGAAATCCAGCCACTGGTGATGCTAATGTAATTACAAAAATTAGACTATATTTTTGTTTCTATAATGCCATCTATTCGTCTTCCCACTCGGCGGAAAGATCTAATGGTTGTGTTTCTCCAATCGGGTTCTTCTCCATTGGATTACACAGGGGTGCGATTTTCAATGCCGTATTGCGGCTTTATTAAACATTTATGTGGAGTAACATTTGCACAAACGATAGATATGTGTGTAATTAAGTTATACAAGGCTTTTTAAACTATAATATCTAAACCCAAAGAAATCTGTAGTTAGAAATGCCGTCCAATTCCAGTGGTGTCACTGATTTCCCAGACATTCCTCAGACGTAATTGAAGATAGAAAGCAATATGAATAATATCACTTTGGATCTCCGATTATCTTTCTGATTACTATATAAATTGGATCATATAACTATACTTGAGGGCTGATGGAAGATCGGAAGCTGTGAAACTGCCAATTTTCACGCTAATCAGAATTTGTTAAGATTTCGTTCGAGTACTAGTAATCGTCTGCCATTTAGATGCTTTCATACACTATGATGTAATCATCAACCAAATAAATAACCCAATTGTTACCCTTTACTTTGCAATCTCCGGACGTTTTGTTCAGAGTAATCGACTCTTTCGGCAGGCCAATGAAAATGTGAAACTTCCAAAGCGATGCATCATGGGAGATATTTATGTAAATTACCACCTTAACTCTTATCGCGAATCGGAGTATTGGATTTCTCAGCCTATCAGAAAATAGCACAGGCAATTATGAACGTTCTCTATTTCACCATATATGAAGGTGTGCGGTTCAATATCCATCCGCCAAAAGGCATGACCCCTATATAGTCCATTTAAAAACCTTACAATGTGCTAGATACAAATGCTTGAAGATATGCTTTTAAAATTAGTAAACCATTTCAAAAACTATGGTTTCCCTGTAGTAGTGAAAGGCACATTGAAAATGAATAACACCCCTTCCATTTATGTTTTATGATTATTTCACTTTTTTATAATATTTTGCAATACCAGTACGGTAAATTTTCTTCATTTTTTATCAAACAATCTATCTTACCATTATTCATAATATCTGTCAATTTCAAGAAAGTCGCGCCACTACGTTTGAAAATAATTCAGATAATGTCATTTTCCCATTGAGTTCCATTATAAAATATGGAATTTTCGAACATAATATTTTTAAACTATACACCCTTGGTATACGCAGCTAACGAAAATTGACCGGTACGGGTCAAAAGCTGGACCGGTACGGGTTTTATTTGAATTTAAAACAGCCATAACTTGCTCAATATTGAATTCCTCGTGTCTAATTTGAAATATATGATGCCTCCCGATGCTTTTAAGTACCCCAATTTTTTACAGATTTTTAAACGGACCAAAACTCTCTAAATGCGCATTTATGCTCTTTTCTCTCGAGAACGACTGTCTCATTTTCACGATAACTTTTATTTAGTACTTCTAACATATAAGATCTATTTTTCCCCATCAAGGTCCAAGTGAAGTATGAAATTAGGCCACCAAACGCAAGGCCTTCTGTTATCAGGTGAGAATTGCAGCCATTTTTCCAATTTCTTGACTGTGACTGTATTTGAATTCGTGACTATTGAAATGTGGTATTATGACATCACAGTGCTAAATGTCATTATTTGTACTTGGTTAACATCATGCTGAATAAATTTAACAATTTCCCAAACATTTTGATCATTTAAAGGAAAGAAATATTAATAAAATAACACTTTAGATCTTTTCATAATAAGAAATATTGGTACCTGCCCCGCCCACCCCTACCCCCATGTTGTTATAGCAACCATCTTAAAACCTAATATTAATGTTGGATGCTGAAACTTCAGGATAAAATAGATAAAACTTCAATTGTTATATACACAAAAACTCAGATGAATTGAAGAATAACAAAGAAAGTTAGAGCATATAGTGCATAACTTCTGGGACAACCCTCGTACAATGATCATGATACATCGTTTTAATAAAGGAAAATCAGACACGAGTCGTTGATTAGCAGCCGTTTGAAGAGAAGATCGAGTGGATTCACTATACCCCGATGCTGTCCTTATTTCTCCAGCATAAAAAATGTGCAGCATTAATAATCAATTAATTAGCTGTAAATCAAGGCAAAAGCGGTTTATTTATGCCCGGGATTTATGATAATTTTAATTAACTTGAAGTTAACTTATTAATAGTATGTTTTGTTTACGTACGTATGTTATGTCATTGTAGCACTGCTCAGTTAAGTCATCTGGAAACTTCAAAACTGTTCTGAAATAAGTTTTAAATTCCTCGATCGACACCCAACCATCAGCTACAATAAAATATGTTTTTCATGATTAAACTACAGAATTATTAAAACACAATATAGACGCCCGATAGATGCATTAGGCTTGGTAAATTGAAAATTCGATAAAGATAATGGAATAACTTTGCAACTTACAATTTCCAAGCCTATCCAATACATCAAAGTATAGATTCAGCCAGTCTCTATACCAGGGAGGAATCTCCATCGTTCTGGCTTTGAGTTGCGTGCATATTTTTTCAAAGGCGTTGAGCCACTCATCGATGGTTATCTTAATTAGAATCAGATGTTTTAACGATATAATGCTAAGCCAAGGCAGATCATAACACATCATAAGATAGACATATACAAGTGTACAGGGTGATTCAAAAAGATAGCCAATGTTGGATTGGAATAACTGTATTACATTTGATGGAGTCGCATCAATATATGTGTGTGGATAAATAAATCATTCCATGATATATTAGTTGATAAACGGTTCTGTATTTGCATTTTTGAATGATGAAAATTGTAATTTAAATGTAAGTATGCAACTGTTTTTCGCACTCCATCTACAGGAAGATTCTAACATACATGTAAGTGTGAAAGTGATTGAAAAATAAGAGGGTTTCATATTATAATTGCTAAAATAACAATTCACGATATTACCATGGGTAAAAGAGAACAAACCTTATCATCTTTGTTAGCGTCAGCTAAAGACTTAATCTCATTCCAAAGGGTACCAAACAAGTCATTACATCTTACCCACATGGGACTTCCCTCTGTCCACTTGGCAAGGGATAGAATATGCTACAACCACAATAATAAAATGATATGGAAGACTTTATTGTAAATAGCCAAGGGTGTCTATACATGAAATTTCTTGAATGTTTTAATTGCCTTTTTAATTGTTTATCCTCATGTATGCTGATGACACTTTTATCTTATCAAAAACAAAGCAAGTTTTACAAAGTGGTCTTGATGTGTTAGAATCATATTTCGAGCAAAATAAACTTTTCGTTAATGCTGAAAAGACAAATGTCGTAATGTTTTCTAAGAAAAAAAACGAAGAAACAATTAGATGTTTGTAGACTCATTCAAATATGTGTGAGTTTGGTTCTCTTATAATGGGAATTTTCGCAAAAATGTTAATTTATTATTACGATTTATTTGACTCCTTAATTTTGCCAATTTCGCTTATGTGTGAAAAACTTCATTTAAAATATGTAAATATATATTGAGAGTAAAACGTACAAAACCATCGTCTACGATAAACGGCGAGTTAGGTAGATATCCTATTGAAATATCAAATTGAATAAAAACAAGGATTTTTGAACTTAATTAGTCACAAGTGGCATTTTAAGTAGCAAAGTGTACATGTATAAGTCAATGCTCAAAATATACAAGGAAGTGGTTAATCACAGTGGCTTATCACGTGGTTAAAGGGTGACGCATATCGTTTAGCAAATCGAACGCTCGTTTCTGGTGTTGCTCACCGTTTAGTATAAAAGGCCCGATCCCGGAATAATACTCAAGGGTTCACAGGTTCGATGTCGTTGTGTCAACACCTCTAACTGTTATATAGCATAAGTATATTATAGATCGTCACACATTTATAAAAGGGTGATTTTTATTTTGACAAATCAATTTCAAATTTATGGGTGAAGTTTCAGGATCTTCTATTTGTGTATAATAAGGAAAAATTGGCATCTAAATTTCCCCATAACGTAATAGCACTGAAATATCCTACAAATGAAACAAAGCAGTTCTAACACAAGGATTTATATTGGCTGTTGTACATGTACTGTTTGAACGCAATCACTCCATGGATAACGTTTTCAAAATCATTATAAACGGATTACTTTATCTCAAAGACAATTTCAATAAACTGGATTTTACAGAACTCCCCTTATTTCTTAAAAATGGACTGATCCAGTTGATTCGCCTGGAGCCGCCATATTGTTTATATACGGGATGCTTATCGGAACCCTTTAAAGTGTGAAGAGAATATTTTAAATGAATGTGGTTTTCCAAATATCTGGATATTTCAAAGTTTTGATAGTAGATTTGCACTGTAATTAAGAGTTAAACGCAAACTAAAATATCAATTCATTCAAAAATTGAATACAAACCTTCAAGAAAGTAAATACCATTTATACAAGGCAATGAAGATCATTATTAACTTTGAATCTTATCTCCACCACCCATTGAGCATGCGTCTTTACATGACAAAATCTAGGGTGTCAAATCATAATTACCAATAGAAATTGGATGGCTCAATCATATACCAAGACATTCACGAATATGTAAACATGGTAACAAATTAGGTGATGAATATCATCTCATAATATAATGTTTATTATTTAAAGATCGAAGGGAGAAATGTTTAAAACTATACTTCAAAAAACAGGCCAAATATTTATAAATTAACTGAATTATTTACAAACAAAAAGGTATACAATTCAACTAAGTAAATTTTTACAAAGTATTTTGAAAGGATTAAACTAAATAACTGCCATTAGATATTGTATCAATTTTGTATTACATGCATATTTGATTATGTATTTATACTCACAGGTGTGGGTAAAAGGAAAAACTAAATTGAAACTGAAACTAATATTCTCAAAGACTGCATGCATGTGATGGAAATATAGTTTCTAATATGGGCTTATTTAAAATGCTATATCGACGCACCTTCACATGTAGGTCGAAATCTCGTTTTTCAACAATCCCATTTTTATCTTGATCTGTAAAAACATACTGTCGGTTACACCAATCATTAGAAATAATATTCAATTACAAAAATTAATGTATGGATTCAATATAACATTTAACAAGCTAATCCGAATATATGTGAATTCTGTTAAATACATAAGCACCTTTGCTAGAATATATATGAGCCAGGCCACAGGAAAAGGGGTCTTTATCATAAAAAAAGCACAAAGAGACCTTTCAAATGAGCCGTGACTTATGTCTTAACAGTTTTTTCTTGCAGATATAGACCAAAATACGGATTTGAATTTAGCACAATCTCCTCTTAATCTTGAGCACATTTTTGGCTCTGTAGTATAATTTTAATTTGTGTGATAAGACCGGTTTTCCCATGGCCAGGCTCATATAATAATGTTATTTACGCGAATACAACTATGTACACGTCACAACATTTTACTCATTTTTATTTCCAGAAAATCGCATAAACGATTGCTTAGAAAAATAACATTGCCAAAAGTATTCTGAAGAACATTTATCATATATGCCTATTGGGATTCTGACAGAAAGGAAACATATTTAAGAATTGCAGAAATGTCGAGTTTAATATCTTTGGTGGCTCTGCAAAATACGCAAAATATGAGAAGACTTCATTCATGAAAACTGAGAATAATGGATCGACAAATCAATTCAAAAACATCAACGGTGAAGATCCCACTAAACTTACCAAGCCAAGTATCAAACTCAAATTTGATTTTCCTTTCCCAGTATTTTGTTCGTTTGAATTCAGTTTCACAACCTATTTGCTTGACCAACATATTTCCGAAAATATTTCCAGGGCTTTTCATATCCATCGAAACGGTGAATCCAATCATCATCTCCCGGAAAATGTTGATATCAAACTCTCGTTTTCCATTCTAAAATGCCCAATATGTATTGTAAAAAGTAGTAAAAAGTAATTTAGTATAGGATATTCTCGAGAAAATTTTCAATTAACTACAGGGTGACCGGAAAAAAAGGAGACCATTGAAATAGGCAATATCTCCTAAATAGACTAGTGACATCAATGAAATTTTGCATACATCAGGACAGTTCTATGGAAATTTGTTCCTGAAAGTGTCAATACAAGCAGTCAACTGGTTCAGGAGCTATGATCATTTACATAACATGCTCCAAATAGGCGCAATTGAGACCAACGCAGAGCTGGATACATTTGGCAAATACCCTTACATATTCCGACCTTGTTATGGCATTACATTTAGCATTTATTGCCACCTTTAGGTCAGCAATTGTCTCAGGATTGTTTTGGTACACATTGTCTTTCAAATTGCCCCACAAAAAGAAATCAGGTGGATTCAAATTTGAGGTGTATGGAGACGAAGCTTATCTGACCTATGGCTTCTGACTCAGTGGTCCCACTCAGTTACAGTATCATCCTAAGGAGGTTTTGGGCAGCCCTTGGTTTTCATATGGGATTTAATTGTGCCATATAGTGGTTTTAGTAACATGGCACTATGCCCAATACCTAAAGTGACTCTTAAGATTTGGTAAATCAGCACTTTGGCAACAGGATGATGAACCACATGTCAGATAACCCTTCATTGCCATTACAGCCTAGACTTGAATCCTGCTGATTTCTTTTTGTATGGATATTTGAAAGACAATCTATACCAAAACAATCCTCAGACTATTGTTGACCTAAAGAAGGCAATCACTGCTATATGTAATGCCATAATAATGCCATAGAGGGCAGAACATGTAAGGGTAGTTTGCCATATGAATCCAACTCTGCGTTGGTCTCAATTGTGCCTATTTGGAGCATGTTATGTAAATGATCATAGCTCCTGAACCAGTTGAATGCTTGTATTGAAACCTTCAGTAACAAATTTCCATATAACTGTTCCAGTGTATGCACAATTTCATTGATGGCACTTGTCTAGTTTAGGAGAAATTGATTACTTCAATGGTCTCCTTTTTTTCCGGTCACCCTGTACTAAAATTTACTAACGATTACTTGTAGAATTTTATGAAAAAAATTATAATAAATAAATGTGTAAAACTGCAACACATTTCTCAAGAAACTAATGAACCGACTCTATGAATCATATTCTGCATACAGTTAACATTAGGCGAATCACAAACATTGAATTCATCATTAAGTGGATTGTAGTTACCATGGTGATGCTCATGTATGCGGCCTTAACCACGTCTTTGGAAATGTGAGGAAAATAACGCGATTCGTGGAAAAATGCAGTAAATTCATCGTCATCTATCCATCCATCGCCTGAAATGGATCGTAATATGATATTTTGCTAAATATCCTTTTAAGGCATGCGACACGGTCAATTGAACTGTCTTGTATTGAAATGTAATAAATATAGTCCATTGTTGTGCTTAATTTGCCTTGCTCTGGCTATCGTTAAAACCAAATATTAGGGAGTTTAAGCTTGCAATGTTTTTTAAACCTAAACGAGATCGGAAAATATTTAGGCGATGCATTTGTATGGGTGATTGGTTCATACATATAGGTTGTTGTTTCGATTTTATATGCACGCTTCAACTCCCTGATATCCTTTCAAATACGATGTACAGTGATCATATTTTCAAGATTATGCCGATATTATTTGTACAGCATCTTACCATTTTTATCGACCATGAAGAAATGCATGTCAATGAACTCAGAGAACCAAAGAGGTATGTCATCCCCGTGTTTGTAATTTACAGCAAATTCTTCCCAGAAATTGTACCATTGTGTTAGACTTATCTGTAAAAATGATTAAAAAACATTAACAGTTGAGAATCAAGTATTATGTTGTATATTCAACCTAGATTATATATCAAACAGACGTGATTTGGGGTATCCATGTATAATTGCTTGGTTTACAAATGTTATTCACTCACCTGGTTGTTTTTGTTTCTATCTGCACCACTTTTTAAGTTACTCCACAAGTTGTTTTTCATGTCGTTGGCTCTCTTCCACATTGGGCTCCCATCTACCCACTTAGTTTCTAGCACTAACTCCTAAATGTAAATATATACATCTTTAATACTAGTATAATGCTATATCATCTAATAATTTGACGTTTTGGCTATACGTGTCAATTATTGTATACAGAAAAGATTGTTCATTGAACAAAATCAAGCCACTATATTCAGGATGGGTCAAAAAACAATACCTAAGTTAAAATATGAATATCATATGATATTTGTTGAACCATGCCATGAATTATATATTACCTTAAACAGCATTCATTTTGTAACAATGTGACACCATCCAATTGAAAACCGTTGTTTTCAAGTGGAGTTAGTGGCAAAAAATGACACAGGGGGTGTCATGAGCAACCAAAAATTTATTCACTACCGGTTTCCAAATTGCGAAAAATTGAGGGAAATTTGAACTTTTGCACCATCAAAAGAGGTACATGTATTCACCAATAAAACTCTAACTCCATCAAAACACAAAGGGTTTACAATCGGATGATGTCATATTGTAAGGAAATTACTTATCTTTAAAATGTTATACAGTACATGCCATGGTTTAAGCTATATCATATGAATAATTCATCTTTAAAATTGGGTATTGATTAGTTTGGCCACCCTGTATACCTGAAATTTCAAGTCAAAGTCCTTCTTTTCAACAACACCATTTCTATTGCTATCTGAAAAAGGAAAATGCCATTGTTTGTGTATTTTACATATGACACATATGGTGATTACGACATTATGTCGTATGGATATTCCTCAACATATATTGAACGTAATAACGCAGAATGTCAACGTTCAGTCATTGCAATAATCCAAACCATTACAGTTATATACAAGACATTGCGGTAAATGTTTTAATATAAAACCGTGACTCAGATTCGTGGATACCAATGTGGCGTTAAGAAACACAGTATGCAGATAAATATAACTGTAATGTCTAGACTCAAAGTTAATTGGGAATCGGAGACATAAAATCCATTCACGACGTCGCAGCCAAAAAAACATAAAAGAAAAAGCTCAAATAGACAACATGACCCCTTAATCTGGAAATAAATGTCGAAAGTGTCATATGAATGTGAACTACGGCTGAGTTAATATGTAGCTTGATCATTCCTTGATATATTAGCTCGTTGCCCTGCGTGCAGAGTCAAACGAAGTTGGACGAAATTCTCTTTTAAATTAAGAAGTGAAGTCAAACGAATGCAAAGGGCATAGCTCGTGTAATTGTTGGCAGATCATAATGATAATTATTCATCTTTTTACACAGTCGTACAAAACATGTTTTAACAATCATCATGCAACGTTATGTTTGCAAATATGGCTGAAATCCAGATTAAGGCAGGCCCAGTCCATACCCCATACTTTGGAAACATAATTCAAACTAATCTATAATTGGCTCAATGTATTGGCTATGACTGATAGCTCGATTTGAATGATCAGTCCCACTACAAAAAAAACTTAATTACATATTATTTTTAGGTCAGCCAAAAATATATAATTACAAGTAGTTGACATAACAACTGGTATCTTTATTGGAATTATATAATAATACATAATCTTACATAATATATTACTGAGTTATGCATTTTAAACACGTTATAGTTTATGCATATAGTGCAAAACAAAAACTCGGCCACTCTAGTCGTTGATTATTTGGCCGTTTAATATGTTTTAGATTAACTTTTAGTAAATTGATGTATCAGTGATACACTATAAAAGTGACCCTTTGCGTAAAATGTTTTTACATATCAATGAGCACCTTTAAATGATTGGATGTTTCGAGAGTTAAGTAAAGAACACTTACAACAAAAAGCTAATCATCTAAAGGGATACTCACCAAACCACATGTAAAATTGATGTCTCATTTTTGACAACCAAAATGAATCGTTTTTGAAGTCCTTGGCCATGTTGTCTTCGTGAAAGTTAAATATGCTTGCAGACGACTATTTTATATCACGTTAGTGTCTCGGGTAAACGGTATTGGTGAGGTTAAGGTGCGCGTCTTTGAAAAGACTGTCTGGTGAACAAGTGGAATGATGGGCATGCGAGGATTCGTTCTCCCCGTCGTTGTATGAGCGTGTTCGAACAAAGCTAATTTAGACGGTTAACAGTAATATGTTGGGGTCATAATATTATTACACAAGCGAGTACAAATTATTTTCAAACGTGTAGCTTGACCGCCATTTTATTCTAATGATTTAACACGTATAGAAGGTGTGAAGGTGAATATGTACTTTTATTGCATTTTTATGAGACTGTGTTTACAAATAAACATTCTCTAAAGTTGCAATTTTGAATCCATGGTGTGGAACTGTGCAACAACTTCAGGTATTTGTTATTCAGCTAGTTGTCCTCAGTTGTACCTTTGTATAATTGCTAAACTCTCTTATAAGCTGCTATTGTTTACTTCAGAGCATGATACGATGTGGCTACTGTTGTTCTATTAGAATTGGAACAGATAGTGTCAAAATTGTGAAGTACTTATTTCGTTAGTGTATACAAATTATCGAATATTAATTGTATTAGGATATATTGCTGTCATTTAATACTTATGTTAAAAAAACAATATCAAATAACGAAATGAATGTATCATTGTTGTTGGTATATTTTGCATCAATATAATAACTACATTGTGATAACAACTGTCTTGGTTATCTGGGGGTACAACTTACATCAGAAAATAATGAACTCTGATATGCACTAAACAATGCCATCTACATATTCATTAAAAATCTGCAAAAGGCTAACAGGCAAATTTAAAGCAGATATAGCAGTGATCTACGAAGTTTATCTACCAACATGAAAATATGGTTCATTTAGCGAATGACTTTTTTGGGCATCAACTAAGGAACTAGAGAACATTGAGACGTTTATAATTTCTTTAATATACAAAGCACATAGAAACTTGAATAATGGATATAATTTGCAACTGTATTACCGACTGTCATTATATGATGTCCTTAAAATTGAGACATAAAATATATTGTTCAATGATATTTATAAAAAATAGTTGTTCTCTCGGAGACTGTCATACCTTCGATGTTAATGTTACAGTAGGTCTACCATATCTGACGTTTATAAAAAGCATTATAACTAAAATAATGTAAGAATCATCAATATGCAGTTTTACGACTCTCGAAGAACCGTCAGTTGGTGATGTTGAACACTTGTATCACCCAAGCTAATGCTGCACCGGAGACTTAAAAAGGAACTCAGACACTTGTACAAAGATTGTTAAAGTAACGTTTAGTTGAAGAATTTAGTATGGCTACTTGCATCATTAGCGTTTAAACGTTTGTCAACGCTTGAATAGTCAGCGTAAATGCTACTCCACAGAATGGAAGGATAATTTAACAGTTATAGTCACTATGAAAATGATATGTTAAACAACTGATTGAAACATTTGCATCGTTGTCCGTTATTCGCTGCTTTTGAAAACCGAATGCTGACATTTGAATCATCTTTGTGATAGAAGTTACGTCAGAGGACTGAGTTAATATACTCTAAAACCTGCAGCGCTAAAGTCATTGGGAAACAGAGTTTGGACACTTGCATTAACATTGTTAGCGTTAATTTAGAGGATTAATTAGCCGACTTGTATTGGTGCGAAAGTTACGTTCGAGAACTAAGTTTGGACAGTTGTACCGTTGGTGCCAAAGAGCGTCCTAAAACCTGGGTGGAAAGCTGTATCCCTGGTGTTAAACTCAAAGTTACGTTAGGGATCTTTGTGTTGATACTAGACTCATTTGCACCGTCAATTTTCGGGTTAGTTAAGAGGACTCAATATAGACAAGAATTGCCACTGTTAACGCTTCTTTAATACCTGAATGCGTACACCTTTCTTCCAAGCCAATGTTATGTTAGTTCAATGCTATGTATATTTCGTATTCTATTATAAGCAATCATGCACTTTTCATGCATTTTTACGTCTATAAGAATTACTTTGAAATGTGTTAATGTCTATTATTCAGAACAAAACTTCTTCAGCAATGTCTTTCCCGAATAATACATTGTCATCGCATAACCAAAACCAAGATGCTAGACATTATTGGACTGAAAATGAATCAACAACAACTTTCTTTGTGAATAACCTGACAGATGTAAAACAGAATCATGAATCGCTAGCACTCGGGCCTTCTACAATATTCTTAATAACATTAAATTGTCTCTTATCATTGTTGATATGCGGGGGTAATATCCCTGTCCTGGTTAGCATTATTTCATTCCGATCGCTGCGTACGGCAAACAATATGTTCCTTGTTAGTTTAGCAGTGTCTGATATCTGTGTTGGGGCGGTAGTTGTACCACTAAACATGATCAGTCGATATATGACCCCACTCATCTTTAAAGGGATCGTGCAAAATGAATACATCTGTATCGTGAAATGTTTCTTTAATGTGTGTCTATCAGGTGCATCTCTTTTCAGCATGGGTGGCATCGCGCTAGATCGTTACTTTGCTGTAACAAGACCCCTAAGATATAAAGTACTTGTAACACGCACTCGTACACTGTGGTTTATCGCACTCAGTTGGCTTTATGCCATTGTTGTAGCCTCATGCTTTATGTTCTTCAAACCCGAAGCCCATTTTGACGAATATAACGTCGAGTGTGTGAAGCAAGTGTTCACTCGTGGATACACAATTTTTGTAAATGCGAATATCTTCGTTCTTTTTGTGGTCATCTTGGTTTCACACATTGTTGTGGCAGTTGTTGCAGTCCAACAACGATCGAAGTGTATTCAAAGACTAACAAGAGTTAACAATACTCTTGCAGTGGCCTATTATAAGGAGAGTCGGTTGGTTAAAACCATGACTTTGGTAGTCGTGTTGTTTGCACTCTGTTGGTTGCCGGGTACGTTCACAACTCTTGCAAGGTGGATCTTTCGCGACGACACTGAAATCCTGCGTTTGTTTAACACGGGTTTTAGATTGTTGTTGTGGTCTAATAGCGCCATGAATCCATGGGTATATGCTTTTAGAATGAGGGAACTGAATAGAGGTATGAGGCGTGTTGTGTTGTGCAGATTCAAGAAACAACATGCCCAAGATGAACGTGTTTGGTGGACAAGGAATACAACGGATTCGCATTGATAGACCTTGTTTCAAATGTATATTGGGCAGTTTGTCAAAGCAATGTGACCTTATCGAAAGGATCTTTGTTTAAAAAACACATTCGTTTATCAATTTTCAACATTGGGGACGTTTAACAGGTTGTCATATTTTGACTCACTGATATATTGAATGTTCATTATCATTGGGTTAAAACGGTCACGACCATGGAAAATCAAGACTGCTTTTAAGAAGTGTTTAAGCACTTTTAAAAGCATTCAACTGTCAACTTGAACGCATTGCATAAATGAGTCTCTAATAATTACACACGTATTAATTTTTATTGCAGAGTCCACAATTTCAAAAATAACACTTTTCCAATATTTGTATTATCTACATGTTCTAGTTTATGGAAAGTATGATTAAACATTTAACTTTTTTACCCTCATTTAGTTATTTACTTATATGATTATAAATCAGTTGTATAATATCAAATTCAAAACATCTAAGACTAGTTTTTTCTAAAAGGTTTGTTAGTATCAGATAACACATGCTTATGAAAGAATCGTGTTATGGACTACAATTGAAATGTAAAAAATGATGTCCAGAATTTATGGACAATTAGTTCTACATATTTAAGGTTTTTCCGTGTATTTGGATCGCAGTTATAAGAACATAATGTTGTTTCATCGAAGATTGCATGAACAATTATGTCTCAATCGCAATCAAAATAGTAACTGAATCTTTTGGATGCAATACAATTTACAAAATAAACGGTTTCCTGAACTGATTTAGAATCATGATTCCGAAGCAATACACGATATCAGAAAATGTTAGAAGAGCAGGCCATAGAAGCAGTGCATGATTTCAGTGCGCAATAGTAACAGGCGTTCACCTACATCTTGTTGCTTGTTTTAGCCCATACATGAGAATTTCAAATAAATCCATGAAATTCGCCATTAATTTCCGAAATTTGGAATTTAGGACACGTAATCTAAAGGGAGACAATTTAAGGCTGCCAGACACTTAACCCAACCACTTCTTCTGCCTCTACATCCCACCTTTCTGAGTCTAGCCTTGCTTTTAATCCCAATTTGATGTTTTAGATTATTTTATTTACATAAAAAATGTGTGTGAACATAAATGTTGCAAGTTACAGACTCAGTTATATTTTTATGTTCTTTATATGTTCATTTAACACTTATTATTATTGATTGTATCAGATAAGCGTCTAAAGGTATCAATACAATTGATTAATGATAATTAAGGCTTGTTGTTTCAGCTTTCTCAAGTAAAGTTATGAGAAACTTACAGCAAAATATACTAGAACAGAAGAAATGTGTTCTTGGTAACATATTTCATAAGCTATAAAAAATGATCCAATGGAATACATTTAAAATGACAATTCGGGAAATGATCATGTTAATTCAATAAAAGAATCAAAAGAGAATCCATCTTTAGATTCTTTGAATATTAATTTTTGAGAATGTAATAAACGTAGAGCAAACTATTACTAGCCTTGTTTGAGTTGTTCCCAATTTCAATTTTTATATTTGGGTGTGCATACTTTATTTGACCTCATGTCAATGATAAAGGTATTCTATAAAAATGATTTAGATTCTTCATTCCAATTCAATCAAATGATATCATTTTCCAGTTGAGCGTTAACACACCAAACGAACTGCTATGTGCAGTCTCGTCGATTTTGGCGAATCATGGATTCAATTGAAATGTCCAATTACTGTTCTTCTTAAGAAAACATTGAATTGATTCGTTTTTATGTATATTGAGTAAATTCTAAAAAAAGCCATATTGGATTGGAATCTTATCATCAAAACTTCTTTACACGTTTCTAATTAGTTGCACCTTGTTACTTTGATCATAGAGTATAATAATAAATAAAAATACTACACATCGTGAAA